CACTCACACACACACACACACACACGCATATACACGAACAGTCCGGTAAGCCTCCAATTCCCAGCTATGTAGTGTGCAGTAGAGAAAAATCACCCGCCGGTAACTCTCACTTACTAGTGTTTGTTGAGTCTCTGCCATTTTTCGCAACCAGACACATCTCTACAAAGCCCCTAATCTCCTTATTTACCCCTCCAAATGCATAAAACTGTGTCTGCGGCTCACCGCCGTACTGTGTGGTTGTTGTTGAGTACCCCTCTTCGCCATCCTTGCTGCCTCGGCGTATGATGATATCCCCATTGTGTCCTAGTCAATGTACGCGCATAGGCAAAGCTGAGGTGTAATGTCGCGGTGATTGGCGGTGCGTCGCCCTCCTAGAGATGGATAAACGAAACGAGTAGCATATAATAAAATCATATTATAAAATTAAAACTATACGCCGGATACTTTCTGCCTATCGCAGACGTACAGCCAACCATATCAAGCACAATACTGTGTGTGTACACGTCCGAAATGTCCAAGAAAACAAATATCCGATATAAGCGCCGGGAAACTAACTAAGGCATACCTGTGTAAACCTTAGGATAGACGCCACGGTGTCGATCTTGGGCAGATGCGACCCCTTCCGTGATACGAACGCACTCACTCTGTCAACCTGTCGTCCTCCAGCTAAGACGCGCAATGCGGCGGCTGTGTGTACGCCTGCGTCCATGATCATGCCCCCATTGTATTCGGAGACTTGACGCCCAGGCGTGGCCGCATGTCTGGGTGTACACATGGAATCAGACATCTGATTCTGAGCACATGGGCCTATATGGAACTATCCGCACCCACAGGTATGTCACGCACTTATCTGCGTGGGTAGCAGATGGTAATGATTGTAGTACATACTTGTTTCCGGTGGCATATGTACAAACGCAGCCCACTGTATCTCAAGTAGATCTCCTAATCCGGTATCAATTCCGAATTGGGCTCCACACTTCACAAATATGTCCTCTATACGGAAGTTCTCCGCTATGGCACACACCACGTCGTTTGCCTGGGCTGTCTCAGCTGCAGAGACCAATGCTTGTGCGTCCTCTGAATGCATGGCGATTAAAGGAAGTATTCATATGTTAATCGTCACAAATATAATTTCACATCGATACATGAATATGTGTTCCTGTGCATGTTTGCCGCAGGTATATTCTAAAGCGACTAAACTTGAAGTTACGACGTTAGTATAGAACATTACAACTAACTGCGTGGCCGTGTTTATTAGCGCGTTTTGTACCTATTTGCAGGGGTATGCAAATATAAGCTTCACACGTAAATCTCTCCTGCGCGTGTTTTCAGCGCATAAAGCATCCAAAGTGAGATTATTGTATCAGCGGATGATACTAGTTGTTCTAGTGAACTATTCGAAATATAAGACGGCCTCTATTACAACGCCTATGTGATTGGTATCAGAACAACCGATCTGAAGATTCACGATAAATCCATGCAACAGACAAATCACAAAGTTAGGGTTCGAATCGCAGACATCGTTCGCGCTTGTTTGTGTATCTCGAGACGGCCGTCGCGTGAACAGGATGGAACACCTGACATAGCTATTAAACAATCGTGAGATAGCTAATAAAAAAT